GAATGGACATAATCATTGGCTGTAATCTGAAACCTCTATAATTTACATTCCAACATCCACTGCTTTTTATTGACCAATGTGAAATTGACCGAACCCAACAGTGGTCATTATATAGTCGATTCAAAATGTGTTTTCTCTAGGGCTGTAGCCATTGTTAAGATTTTGAAACTTTTGACGGGTATTTTGTATTGAATTGAATTGAGTAAAAAAAGGTTAATAGTTAAGTCTACAAAATGTCCTTTATGAAGACTATTAAGAAAACATTAAAGTGTCAAGTGGGAAATGAAAAAGACATAATTGGTTTATATATTTGTTGTTGTGTCTTCTGTAATTTCCTTCCAAAAACTTTGGCAAATGAAAATGATGGCTTATTCACAAGGTTTACAAACTTTCAGAAGACCGTTTCTTGCAAAATTAGTTATTTAGTATTAAATTTTTTAAAGCTCTATTAAATACAGTTAAGAGAATGCATAATAGTTTATAGGTGCATGCTAAATGCCGAACGTGTGACTTTAGACTTAAAATATTATTACAGTGGAACCTGTCTAATCCGAACTCGTCCGGACCAGAAGAAAAGTTCGGATTAGAAAGTTTTCCGGATTAGAAAGGTTTCCGAATTAGAAGGTTTTTTACATGTTTTTTTTCATGTTATTTGCAAAATAGTTTAAGGAAAGAAAACGGGAATGCATTTGAAATTGCAATTTAGATATTTTATTTTTGCAGTCTCTTATCGTTCATTTTAATACATGTGAATACAAAAATAAAGAAATAAAAATAAATAAATAAGCAAAAATATTATGTCCTCAAGCGTAAGTTAACCTACGATGTTAAACAGGAGGCCGAGACATGATTGAATATTCGTACCAGCATTTGTCAATTGTTGTTTACTCATATCCGAATCAGCGACTATCCGAATTCACTGACAGTTTCCATTAATTTTCATTACTTAATCACGTATCATTGAATCCATTACAGAGGATTAAAAGATAATTATTTCTTTTGAATTATATCAAAATATTTATAGAAGCTGACGAAAAACAATCAATTAAGCAATTATAGAAGATATCAAGGCAATATAAGTGTAATTTTCACACCTTCACAGATCATACGTTTCACCCATTAATCACCCATTAATCAAGCGAAATAACACTTATCAGTTTGGTGTATGTTTACACCTGCAAGATGTGCGAATATTTGTTATTTTGAATGAAGGTGTGACATTTGGCAAAATCTGTTCGGATCCGAGAGGTAAATTTTATAGTAAAATAAGAACAAAAATTAAAAAAATTGTCCGGAATTCGGAGTAGACAGGTTCCGGATCCGAAAGGTTTTTTACTATTGAAAATAGAACGAATAAAATCGGGACCGGCCACTTCGTTCGGATTAGAAAGGATTCCGGATTAGAAGGGTTCGGATTAGCAAGGCTCCACTGTAATAGCTACAGTTTTTTATTTTTTCTTCTTTGATTTATGTTTAAAATATCAGCAGCCAGTCAAATCCAGGAGTTTGACTGTGTCTGCAACCAAACAGTCAAATGTTACTTAAATGTGACCATTTTATTGTGAAAACATATTTAATACCTTTGACCCTTTAAAGACAAATGTTAACTGTGACCCTATCTATATTCCTTGTTCAAAAGTTGTTACAACAAAACTTTTCAGGAAGTATCCCTATGTTACAAATGTTAACTCTAAACCATTACATAAAAGTTTCTTGTAGTAGTAAATTGTTAAACAAAAAGATAAAAAAAGATACATTCAGGACCTTTGCCAAGTTACATTATTCCCAGGTTATCAAAAGTTGTCCATGATAAATGATGATAAATGGGATATCATAAAATATTCCCCTCAGTTTTTAGCTCACCTGTCACAAAGTGACAGGGTGAGCTTTTGTGATCGCTTTTCGTCCGGCGTCCGTCCGTCCGTCGTCCGTCCGTCCGTCCGTAAACTTTTACTTTAAATGACATCTCCTCATAAACCACTAAGCCAATTTCATCCAAACTTCACAGGAATGTTCCTTTGGTGGTCACCTTCAAAAATTGTTCAAAGAATTTAATTCCATGCAGAACTCTGGTTGCCATGGCAACCGAAAGAAAAAACTTTAAATATCTTCTTTTAAAGAACCATAAGAGCTAGAGCTTAGATATTTGGCATGAAACATCTTCTAGTGAGTGTCTACCAAGTTTGTTCAAATAAAAGCCCTGGGGTCAAAATTGGCCCCGCCCTGGGGGGTCATTGATTTTCCCTATATGCATATAGTAAAAACTTAAAAAATCTTCTTTTAAAGAACCCAAAGAGCTAGAGCTAAGATATTTAGCATGAAACATGTTCTAATAGGTGTCTACCAAGTTTGTTCAAATAAAAGCCCTGGGGTCAAAATTGGCCCCGCCCCGGGGGGTCATTGATTTTCCCTATATGCATATAGTAAAAACTTAAAAATCTTCTTTTAAAGAACCCAAAGAGCTAGAGCTAAGATATTGAGCATTAAACATGTTCTAATAGTTGTCTACCAAGTTTGTTCAAATAAAAGCCCTGGGGTCAATATTGGCCCCGCCCCAGGGGGTCATTGATTTTCCCTATATGCATATAGTAAAAACTTAAAAAATCTTCTTTTAAAGAACCAAAAGAGTTAGAGCTAAGATATTTAGCATGAAACATGTTCTAATAAGTGTCTACCAAGTTTGTTCTAATAAAAGCCCTGGGGTCAAAATTGGCCCCGCCCCGGGGGGTCATTGATTTTCCCTATATGCATATAGTAAAAACTTAAAAAATCTTCTTTTAAAGAACTCAAAGAGCTATGGCTAAGATATTTAGCATCAAACATGTTCTAATAGGTGTCTACCAAGTTTGTTCAAATAAAAGCCCTGGGGTCAAAATTGGCACCGCCCCGGGGGTCATTGATTTTCCTTATATGTGTATAGCAAAAACTTAAAATCTTCTTTGAAAAAACCCAAATAGCTAGAGTTTAGATATTAAGCATGAAACATCTTCTAGTAAGTGTCTACAAAGTTTGTTTAAATAAAAGCCCTGGGGTCAAAACTGGCCCGGCCCCAGGGGTGTCATTGTTTTTAACTATATGTGTATAGTAAAAACTTAAAAAAATCTTCTTTTAAAAAGCCCAATGAGCTAGAGCTTAGATGTTTAGCATGAAACATCTTCTTATGGGTGTCTACCAAGTTTGTGCAAATAAAAGCCCTTAGGTTAAATTGGCCCTGCAACGTTGGGGGGGGGGGGGGTTGGGGGTAGGGGGGGCCTATATACAGGTGAGCGACCTCAGGGCCATCATGGCCCTCTTGTTAAACATTTTTTTCTTTCTTTTGGTGATTTACATGAATATTTTGATACAACAGACCCAAATAGTAGTTTATATCTATTCTGTAAGGTCAGTGGCCAGAAAAGCTACACAGTTAAGTAGACCTGACAAGTTAGTGGTGTTATATGGGGTTTTTGGTTACATCTGGTGATATTTATGTGGATCGTGCTGTCAGTTAGGGTGAGGAAAACATTGCAACAGAATGTTGTTAAAGAAACAGGGGGAGATAACTATACTCAAGTCTATTATTTATGCAAAGATTTATCTGTGTGAGTGAAGAAAAACAACGGGATGATTGTGTGTTTTGAATAAGTGTAATTGGCTAGTAAAAAGTGTTATTGGGTTAGCATGGCACTTTGGTTTAAAAAAAAAAACAAAAAAAACTTAATGCCATGGTACATTTAAAGCAACAGTATGCCTATCTAAGTGTAAATGGAGGGTGTACACGTCAAAGTCAAAATTATTTTAAATTTTGCCCTATTTGCTTTAAATTAAAATTGTACTCAAGTTCATGTATAATTAATCAATAACCCATGTGACTCACAGAAAATTCTATGAATATCTGGAATGTATGCTTAACCTTCAATTGGGGGGTGGGGCACTCTTTATATTTTATGCAGCTGTTAAATTTATCCTAAACAGTTTTGGTTATCATGTTATATCAGTTATTGGTCAATGACCATTATAATAATCAAAGTCAATCTTTTTAAACATATATAATTATAAATAAGCCAATTTAGCTCAATTTGACAACAAACAAATGATCATAATATCATTATAAGTCATGACTTAATGTACATGTACTGCCAAGACACATTAGTCTGAACAATTTAGATTTTTACTGTATGTCTATATCCAGCATATAATAAAGATGATGATCTTAGTGACTTTATCTTATAGTATGATTTTATTGACCTGTCAATTATGAATACATTATATGACTCATTTAAATATTCGATCCACTTCGGTTTGGTCCGTGTAGTTTACGAGAATTAATGTGGAATATATTAATCATGGATTGAAAGTCACGCCAGCTTAATGCGAAGGTTTTCGCTAATTCGCAATAGCACAGTCGGTTAGGGGAATGCTTGATAATTGAGAGGTCTGTGGTTCGATCCGTACTGTTGCCATTTTTTTAGTACTCTTTCTTTATTTTTTTGCAGTATATTTTAATGGAACAGATTTGTAGTGTGTTTTACGGCATTGAAAAGACAGTTATTTATTTTAATCCATTTTAATTTTAAACATGAATTCTTAAAACATGTTATTTAAAAAGAGTATAGACATAACAAAATTCAGTAAAACATAATAAAACAAAACGAACAACATAAAATAATCATATATAACTTCATTAATGTTGAAAGTATTGATAAGGAAAAAAAAACATGGACCAACGCGGTGTCGATCTTAAAACACGTGTGACACTTCGATTATAAACTCGTGATTTACCCTATTGCGCTATAACGCTGAGTACACTTTGTTTAGAGATACAAATTAAATTAAATTCCATCGTACAGCGTACATCTCACGGAACTTACCGAAAATCTACCGAAGATTAATATACTGTGTGCATCGACCGTGTAATCAGTATGTAATTGACAGGTTAATAAAACCAAACAATAGTGACTTGCATGAGAACTGCTTCTTTGACCTACATTATCTTATAATATTACCTTGTATGTTTGCAGGTGACCATTTACAGATATGTCCGCATGGGAGCACGTGCTGTACATCAGACATGGAGAATAAGCTCAAATCCCTCAGTATGAAGGAGTATGAAGGGGTAGCAGATGAAGCATTTAGATTTATCAAATCAACATTTGTATCTAGAACAAAAAAATTTGATGGTAAGTTCTTAATTTGTTTTTGGAAAGCTTGGGCTCGAATAAAAATCTAGCCAGATATAGACCTGTAGTGGGTTATTCTTTTCTTTGAGCTCCATATTCATGGGATTTAGGCAAAAACAATTGCAAAGTAAAAAGACCATGCCCAGCTCTATGGAAGGCTAAATATATATAGTTAAAGGTGTCAGACGTTAGTCTGAGTGGGTCCACTAACTAAGGTGACTTTGTCTTATTAACAAAGGAACTTGCTAGACAGAGTAATAAACGTCTTCCTTGTGCTTCTGTACTTGCTGCGCTTCTAGACTTGCTGCAGGTTTGGACTTGCTGCACTCCTGAACTTGCTACGCTTTTGGACTTGCTGCACTTTGCTGCGCTTCTAGACTTGCTGCACGTTTGGACTTGCTGCACTCCTCAACTTGCTGCACTTTTGGACTTGCTGCGCTTCCTGGACTTGCTGCGCTTCCTGGACTTGCTGTGCTTCCTGGACTTGCTGCGCTTCCTGGACTTGCTGCGCTTCTTAGACTTGCCGCGCTTCCTTGACTTGCTGCGCTTCCTGGAATTGCTGCGCTTCCTGGACTTGCCGCCCTTCGTAGACTTGCTGCGCTTCTTAGACTTGCTGCTCTTCCTGGACTTGCTGCGCTTCTTAGACTTGTTGCGCTTTCTGGCCTTGCTGTGCTTCTTAGACTTGCTGCGCTTCCTGGACTTGCTTCACCACTTCTGCAGAAAACTCTAAGACAATACTGAAAGGTCCTTATTCGGGAACTAAGTTTTTTTTTATTTTTCTGATCTTCTTTTAATGAACATCAGGTCTCTTTATTTGTCTCAATATATATAGCAACGGCACGAACCTGATAGAAAACAATTGACGTGATGTCACAATATAATCGACGTCGCAGTAAAATAAAACAAAAGTGTGTTTCTTTTGACGCACTAAAATACTTATAACTTGAGTTTAAAAAGACCTATCAACATGAAATAAAGTGCAAATTAAAATTCAGCTAAATATCTAAAAGCCGATTTAAAAAATGAATTGAATCAGATTCGTGCTGCTGAAACAAACATAAAATAAAACGATAAAAATACTAAAAAAAATACAATCTTGACAAAAGGCTATTTGTATACTAAAATCCGACCGATCTTTCATAACTTGTATTGGATGAAAAGAAAATTAATATTTCAAAATATTTTTGAATTATCAATTATCGTGTATCAACCAAATAAAACAAAAACAAACTGAATTTCAACTTTGCTAAAAAATTTAGATAATTTATTGATTCTCTTAAGAATAAAAAACAACAATAGGCATTATGAAAATATGAAGCTTATAATCCTCGCGAGAGAATACCTGTATGTATTTTTTCAAGCATTTATGAGGTACTAACCCACTGGGATTGTTTTAAGATAACACGCCAATAATCAGTTTGTGTTGAATAAGAAAATATAGAAAAACTTAAAAACAAGTGACTCCTATCTAGAACAGTACCAACTATAATTATATTGGTTTAAAAATTTTGGAAATTCTTGAGAGTGTATATTTTTCTTCAGAAAATGCTTTATTCCCTCAAAAAAATTTCACCGGCTTTGCTGAATACAGGAAAACATTTGAATTCATAATCTAGGGATCCCAGATTTGATCCTCTAGGAAGGCGAAATTCATTCATGACTTATAATCTTGATATTAAATCTTTAATTCTGGTAAAGATCATTTGTGTCTCACTGCTAATTCAGAAATAATGTGAGATAAGGTGAGTAGTAGTCCGTCACTTGTCAAAAATTTGATAATTTACTGGTTAGTTATCCAGGAAGCCGGTTAGGTTGACCATCTGCTGAGATATGACCAAAAAAACGTTAGAATTTGTGTTTAAACAATCCCAAATACAAAATGTTCTACAAAAACCTGTAATTTTGCTGCTGTTGTGATTATTTTTTTTTTCAATTTACAAAATTCAAAAAAGGCCGACCTATTGGGTTAAAAACATCCTCTGAGATTCTAAAATGTGTGAGTATCTCCGCCACTTTTTTGTATCATACATCGCTTTCAAATGTATGGACTTATTTCATTGTTCATGGTACCTGGTCATTTAGATCAATATTATTTTATCTACTTTGAGACTTTGAAAATAGCAAGAACATCCTTGTATATTTCTCAACATTCCGACATTACAGACTTTCATTATAAAGCGTATAAAGCAGACGCATAAAGCAGCAGACGACAATTAAAAAACAGTAAACTATGCTGGTATTTCCTTTCATAATAACTGAAACTGAACCAGGCCTGTTTCTATTTGTTGCTTTGATTAAAATTTCGTAAACATCATCAGCATCCAGAGAACCATCTCGAGAGCATGCGGAAAACTTTTCCAACAGATTTCGCAATTTTTCTCCGCTTTTTCGCAGGTAAACATAGACAAGATAACCTTTTCTTTAGAACTAAGAATTCTTGTGACGTGTTCTTGTTATTTCTTCACTATTGTAAACCTTTATAAAAACATAATCTGTGAGCAGAGGGGAGAAATTAGATCAAACTGCTACATGAAATGTCGGGAATAAAAAAGAAATTTTTGGCATCGGAACAAAGTTTGATTGATCTACTGATTCTGTAATCACTTCAGTTTTAATGCAGATGTACGTAAAATAAAATAGATTTCCCTGAAATTATTTAGATTCTTGAAAAGCATCAAGTCTTCTGGTTGAATACACAGCTGTGTAAAATATGTTTTCTATAAATATAATCTATCTTTTGCTTCATAATAAGATCTGATTTTTCTTTGAATTAATTTTTATAGCACTTTATTTGCCAGAAATTTTTTGGGGAAAATGTCATGTTTTAAGAATGTAAAATAATTAAAAAACAAGAAGTATCTTTAAAAAGATACTCTGACAAGGCAAAACTGCTTTTACTTGCATAGGTTATTTTGGAGTTTGCAGTAATAGCATTTAATTTTTAGATGTAGGAAACACAGCAAGATATGTTTCTAAATGGAACTGTCATGTTTCTCTAAGTGTACCTTACACTTACGTATTCAGGGACGCTGTTTAATATTAATAAATTGACTTACATTATATTATACTTACTTCATATTATTATATATAACTTTAACAGTTTTGCATCTGACCAATAAATTGTCAGCATTTCTATTTCTACCAATGGTGTTTGTGACACGTTTATGCGCTGAAAGTAAAGAGAAATGTAAAAAGAATGATCACTCACCATGTGGTATCATCAGCAATATCGTCTGTCTTATTGATTTAATGACTCAACATTTGAAATTGAGTTTCCTCAGTATGGTGCACATTCAGTCATATGACCAGTTCGAGAGTTAATGAAATATTTCTCATACACGTTGTGAAAGTAACACGCTATTTTTAGCCGTAATTCGCATCTTGCTAAATCGTAATTCGCATCTTGCTAAATCGCAGCTCCGGTTCTTAAATTGTGTATTGATTTGTACGATTAATACAGTGGGCATGATTAATTGTTAAAGATAGTATGAGGCAATAACTAAATGAACAAAAATTACTAAGTGTCTGTAAAATTGATCGTTAATTGTTGATACCAGAGCTTTTCCTAATTTGCACAAAATTTCTATTAATCGATTTTTTGTCTACAGGGAAATCGGTAAAACGATGACATAAATGGTTACAATATTTTGCATGATAGAAACAATATATAATTATGTACTTTGATAGACCCTTTACTAAAAGTTTGCAAGAAAAAATTCTGGAAACAACAAGGTACACATTGCTGCTTACAAAATTCAATTTGAAAAGAGCAGTTAATTATGTGATGAACTGATAAGAAATAGTCTTGAAATTTTGGTACAGGATGAATAATTATATACTTTACCCTGAAGGCATTTTTTTTCAGTGGTTAACTTGTTATAAAACATGCACTTAGTGCAGATAGCAGTGAAATGTCTGGCAAACATTTAATTACACAAGGAGCTGAGATTTTCAAAGTAAATTAACAGGTTAAAGAAAAGTCATTTAATATAGATCTACAAATAGTGCAAGTATCTTGATCATTTAAAGAAAGGTTATTTACTTCTTTGTAAGAAATGACTGATATATTTTAAGTTTTTTTAAGTTTCACTTTTTAACCTTTAACCTCCTGAATTTCTTAACTGTAAAACTTCCAGTTTTGGAACTGTTTATTATCAATTTTGGTGATATCAAGATGAGTTAGTTGCTGCCCAGACTGCACACAAATACAGGATGGCCAGTGGCTTTATTGATTCCCTTTCTGTTCCAGAAGGGTAAGGGATAAAATTTAAAGATTTCAGTAAAAAGTGCTGTGTTTGTAGTGTCTGCTTTACTAAGGCAGGAAAAAAGAATCCATAAATAAAAATTACAAATTTTTGGCTGATTCCGATAGGAAAAAATGTTGGGATGGCAGAAATTAGGTGAAAATGGTAAACACAGCAGTGGGAAAGCATAAAAACATATGGAGCTCATATCTTATACGAACATTACAGAGGGAAATATTAAGGTTGTTAACAGCATAGAAACTAACAGACACTGTCATCGGATCCAGGTTAAACAAAATCTTAGAATCTTTATACTCTAGCAGCCAATTTGAGCGTTTAAGATATTGTTAGAAAGGCAGGCAATAAAGCTGAAAAGTCTCATTGGTTATGCCACTGTTACAGTTTTTGTACAGTGATATTTTAATAATTCATAAATAATTTATGTTAAAACTTTAAGGGTGATAAAAAAATTGTTTGATTTGCTAGTTAAAAATCCTACTAAATAGACTAAAATGGCCAATGAAGTCAAGAATCAGGTTCTATTATGTAATTAGGGAGAGCAAAACAAAGCTTTAAGTGAACAGCATTATGTAGCCCTTAATCCCTTAAACATAATTTTATTAACAAATTTAAAATATCCCAAAATGTAATAATTGGTAAAGAATGTTTCATTGATTTCTTGACAATGTTATTTTCTACTGGTGTCATAGTTATTTCTTTATGGGTGGGATGGGGGAGGGGGGAAGAGAGTTTTGT